CACAGTTCGAAACATCTTTGACTTGTGTGCATAATATTGTGACCTGTGACACATTTAACGAACTTCAGTGACCTGTGCACACACTGATGTGATTTGTGACCCCATTTCAGTAATTTGTGACCTCTGCATGTATGATTTGTGACCCCGTTTTAGTGATCTGTGACTTGTGAGTGTGTGACCTGTGTACCTAATATTGTGACCTTGTGATATGTGAGCAATTTCAAGGATCATACCATGCTACTCAATGAAGATTTCGAATCTATAAGTTGATGCCACCAGCTTTTTGACCCTACGGTAATTGAATCGAGTGCAAAAGATGGATAAATGACATCATCGGCATCGTTAAACTTCTTTCTGAAACGGGAAGATAGCAGCTAAATATAAATTAAATCCCCAGATTATCCAACTTTATAGATTAAAGCATACGACATCAAATGTACGTACTTGTTCCTTAGTTTGTAACCTCTGTTAAACCAGTTTTGAAATGCAACAACATCAGCATCGTCCGCTTTCTTGTCATGCTTGTTAAAAACAATAGCATAATCGGAAAGCTTAATTTGTTTTCCAGCACCGGTAATAGACGGGGACTGTAGTATCCGTGTGGGTCTAGGGGCTCTCTTAATTGGCAAACCCGATGTCGATGAAGAAGGAGAAGATCCCTACATGCATGTCGGAAAACAATGAATGCATTGTTTGAATAAATATATTTGTTCAGACAATATGTCATGTGACCGCATAGTTGTGACAAGTAGATAAATATTTGTGACATATATCATATATACAAGCATCTAATAATATCACGTGTAAGGATAAAAGGTGATCTGCGTGCGTGCCACATTTTCAAGTCAATATGTTAGTGTTTGTGACCCATAAATGTATGCAACGCGATATGAAGTACTTGGTCCTCATTTATGGTCTTCGTCGCTACATCAGCCTGCTCCTCAATTTCACAGTCCTTCACCACACCAGCTATAATGGCATCAACCTCATTAGAAATGATTGGTGTTGAAGCAACACCCAAGTCGAAAGATGGGGTCGGAGGAAAGAACGGATATTCAATTTCGTCAGCTGGGTCCATCTTGCCCTTGCCTTTCCTATCAATATTTTGTCAATGTCTGTGACCTGTTGTAACACAAATATTAATAGACAACTTAAGGTAATGACAGCAAAAAATAATTTCGATTGTAGAATTACGTACCTTCTCCTGCTGTAGTGCATCTCCAACGCTGTGAGCTTCACTCTTCTCAGATGCTTTTGCTAAAATTGCATCCATCTTACTCAATATTAAAGCAGTAACGGAATAGGACAAGAATGTCATGCTCGACCGTATTTTCGTCATGTCCAATCGAATTTCACCTTGGACACGGATAAGTTGATCAGTCGACTGTTCCTATATTGTTTTAAGTCTAATAGTTGTGACTTTAGATCCTTGAGCTGCACTGTGAACTCTTTATTATTACACTAGAGTTTGGTCATTTGTCCACGTAACTCCTCTCTCAACTTGTCAAATACCTGTAATTCAATAATTGCAAAATGGGTATGTCACATGGTTGTGATTTGTAACCAGTGCAAATCTATATGACATATGTTTGTGACTTGTAACACAGTAATGTGAGATAAAAACATATTTCTTAGTAAACTATGACTAAACATTAGTCTGCGACCTTATTTGGCAAATCTGTGACATGTACACATATGTCTACTGCTCGTTGAAATGTGTGATTTGACAATATAACACATTTTTATGTGACCTGCGATTGTGACATAATATCCGAAATTGTGACTCCAGAAATAAATATACTAGATAACGTACAGCTGGTTGTGGTTCATCATCTGCACGGGTAGCCTGCGACTGGGCTGAAGTGTGAATGTCATGCCCCTCTGGTTCTGTAGGATAGTATTCCCGCGTTGCATGCTCCTTAGTAGGTGGGTGGAAATGGGAAGGTATCTTTTTCCTTCTCGGTGGTGTATCAACCAAATCGTCATCGTCGTCATCTTCAACATCACTCGAATGCACTTTACATCCATCTATAATAATTGACAACCGTGGTCTGGGTATGTGAGATTGGACAAGGAGACTCGTGCCTGTATCGCTCGTATCTCCAAATTGCATATCCCCTCACGCATGTGGTTGCAAAAGTTTCTTGTACAAAATGCCTTTCATTTATGGAGCTACCATCTCATCATCAGACGGAACAATGTAACGAACTTCGATCTGCAACAATGATATAATTAACAATCATATCAGTTATCTAAGAACATATTGATTATCAAAGTTTTGTGACGTAAGCATGTTAAGTATCATTATCGTGCGATGGAAACTTGATGACCTCACATGATGAATGTAGGATATATTTCATGTGTGTGATCTGTGAAACATGCAATGACTAATTCATGTGTTGTTGATGTATACATAACTGTGACCTTTACGCTATATATTATCTATTGTGACCATTAACATGTGACTGCGGTAGCAATGAATAACAACTAAGAACCAAAAGTTTCATACTTACGTCAGGCTTGGAGAAGACCTCTTCATCCAATTTAACTATAGACGGTTGTCTGTTCGACGCCCAGTTCACAATGCAGGGGTGCCTATTCCCCACCCTATTGGTGACAGGTCCAGTAAGACTTGGAATTGATTCGTAAATCTAGACTTGAAATGCAATAAAAAAACCCTTAAAACCTGCAGTGGGGATTCCTATAACACAAACCCTCTTTTAGAGATTTTATAGACATTTCAAACAACTCTTTACCCCAGAGAAACCGTTCCATCGCAGCAAAGTCTTCTACTAAGACAAACAAGTAGTTTTCAACCACCTTCTTATACAACGTGGAGAACAAGAAAGATGTTATCAAGTACAAAATCCCGATACTTACAACATCATGATATTTTGCATCTAACAAGTTCAAGAATACATCACACACATCTTCATTTGTGACTAGTTTCAAATTCTTGAAGTACGTTCCCTTAATCCTAGAAGGAATATGCTCGAGATTTTTCCCGACATCCTTACCGTTACATCTCATACCTGTGACTACACAGAACTCAGACAACGAAAATCGAACATATTTGTTTGCAACCTTGAACCACATCTCATTGGGATTCGGTTGCTTCACCTCCCTCAACAAAAAATAGTGTATCAGTTGAGGCTGGGCCACAATTTCCTGGCAATCCATGTAAAAGGAAAAACAAGTGTTTGCCAGAATAACCTTTTGTTCATCTATGAACTTTGATTTGAAGTTGGTCAACACATTCTTGGTTACATTGGTTGTAATTTTACCAGGAACCATAGGTCTTAGGAGATTATGTAATTCCATTCCTGCAAGACATTATGAAAATTGGAAAAAAAATGTCAAAAACCTTTATCATGTACACATGCAAATCAAAACATAAAACACATAATCACACAGGTCACAACCATTTCGCACAACACACTGATTGAGTCACAAGTGTATTCGAAAAATTGTAACACACATGTTACCAGTATGATTTCAAAAATCACTCAAAACATGTACAACAATCATATCCAATAACATAGGCCAATATCCATGGTCACAAATCTACATGTCACAAAAATTGGTCACAATCCCACAGGTCACAACCATTTAGCACTTGACACCGTTGAGTCACAAATGTAATCGAAAAATTCCACTTCACACCGTTCAGTCAGACAAGGATTACCAATAAACCACGTCAAAAATTAAAAATTCCCCCATCAATAAAGCACTACTCCGTTCAAAGTCAATTAGCGAGTTCAAAAATAAATTACCCATATGCCCATTTAACTCAATAAACTACAGAGAATACTTACATTGTTCAATTTTCGTCTTCGAGATTCGGTCGAGGTTTTCGGGGTTCCATCGCAGTCACGTTTACCGACTTGTGGACTTCTGGCATTCTGTTGATGGCTTCCAGAGGGACTTATCTGTTTTCTGTTGAGATTTTCAGTTACAACTCCGGGTTTTCGCCATTACCAAATCCTTGGAGTACTTTGTTCGACTTCGGGTCACAAATACGGAAGCGAGAGGATAAATGAAGACCGATTTTAGATTTAAGGTACGTATCTTATATCACGGTTAATCGTGGAGGAATGTGGAGTGTGGTTGAGCAGTTTAGAAAGATTTCTTTCCCTTATTTAAATTTTTTCTCTCTCTACTATTAACGTAAAAGTGGAAATGGTTAGAGATAATAAATATATTAAAATGTTGATAAATAATTCATTACGACCTGATTTCTAAATTAAGAAACCTAATTGCTTAATAATGAAATATGAACTTAAAATACCTCAGTGACTCTAATTTCCACTTTTTCTATTATAGTTTGTAAGGTATGGAGATGTCAATGGGACAAATCAGAGTCAGGGTAACCTTCGCCGCTCCCCGCCTCATACTCGGCCCATTACCCGTTTGAGGCAAGTCAAAGCCTTTACCCCGTTTACCATTTTTTTTCTTAGTAATTCAATTTTTAATAATTCATTTTATTGCCATCATTCATTACAGTATGACAATAATATATTTGTTAATTTTTTTATTTATTTTTAAAATTTTAAATTATTCAAATATATTTGATAACCTAAAGCTTCTATTGTTTTTCAAATTCCTTAATCTTAATTGCTATCTTCTATTAAAACGAATAAAATTTCGTGATTTTTTTTATTAAAAGAATTGAATTCTTGAAAAAACAAAAAGATTTAAGATAAAAAGGGGCAAGGTGGGACCCTTGTTACCCGTCCTCACCCCAAAACGAAATCCCCCACTCCCTCCCCGACCTGAATACCCAATGACGTAGGTAACCCCTACCACGTTCATGGAAGGATCCCACGAATATCGGGTTTGACCCTTTTTTCCCCCCATCCCTAGTAAGGTAGCCCTAAAAGATAGGTACCCAAGGCATATCCATACATGAAAAGCCCCAAAATTGCTATAAACTGATGATAACACATAACAACTTCAAAAAATAATAAGAATAATAATAAATAAATAAATAAATAAAAATAAAACAACCGATGCATCTCATGATGTCCACATAGAAAGGAACAATCAGCGAACAGTGCAATGAAAACGAAAAAACGAAAAATAGTGATTAGTTATAGCATCCACAGACAGAAAAGCACAGGAGGAAGACTTGAACCCCTTTCAGTTTGTAAAGAATATCTCTTCAGATGATATCCATCGCCGGAAATAACACAGTACCGATACTTAAAAAAGATACATCTTCCTACAAACATGCTTCAATTTCGGAGCCATTCGCCTCTTGATCAATCATTTGAATCACCTGAGCAACGCCAGCTGCAAGTTCCTTATTAATGGCACCATCAGGCATATCAAATGTCCTCTTCATGGACAGTGTCTTTCCACGAGACTGGGGGTCCACAACATCAAGCATTGCTTCCAGCTCGTCCACCATAGACTTCTTTGCAGATCGAACCATCAAATCAGCTCCCTAATAGACATGAAACAAATGCTTGTGAACAATGCTTTTCCCGAAATAAGCGCACAAATAAATTTAGTGCAAGAAATTAGGAGATGCTTATAATTTATAAACCAAGGAACCTGTATAAAACGAAGCAAATAACAAAAGTTGCAGTTTCCAGGAGTAAGAGAGCCATCTGCCAGTATCACATTCGTACTAGGAGCATCATGCTGACAAGTAAGTATAGTCGGTTTATTTTGATAAAGGCATTTGACACAGAAACTAAAATGGCAAATATTGATAATAAGGTTCGTCACTATGTGCAGAAATAATTCATAAACGGGCACAAGGCAGATCTAGGCCTAGAACTGCACTGTTGTCAATTCCTAAATGAATGTACTGTCATAGAAGTTGTAACGTAAATTTAACTTGAATTGTTTCACACATTATCAACCACCCAAACAACAAACAATCATGAACTCGCGATGTTAGCTTCCTAATCATCCATCTCTTATTGTCTATCACATGCATAGCAACTAGTCAGCCACAGCCCACAGGCGTTGGAAAACTCTGAACTCAATAATGTCTTTGGGCGTGGTTGGCTAAGCTTAAAAGGAAGTAAAAATTACAAAATTATGTTTGGTCAACTTATTTTTCTTATTTTTAAATAAAGAAAAATTACTTATTTACTTGCAAGTGAATTTTTAAGCTTAGCCAAATATACTTTTTGAGCATGTGAAACACAAACACCATATCCATTCTTAAATTTCTGAAACAAGGACCAACGAGGATAGACATTTCAATGAATTATGACTACATTATGCTCATTAATAAGTAATTTAAGCTATGACTCATAAATTTGTAAAATAACAAAATTTGTCACTTTATGCTACCTCAATGGCATCAACAGTGAGAAGCAGTACAATGATCTTCTCCGAGAACCTCTGGCGCTCTTCTGCATTGCAGGAAATGTGACGACGATAAGAGAAGTTGTTGAACAAGGCCCTGATCTCCTTCAACTTGGTCTTGGCAATAGCCAGTTCCCGAAGTGCACGCAGAGCCTGTGACCTACGAATAAGGTAAGCCCTGAAGTTCAATTGTATCAGTGTCGCTGCATCCAGTGGAGACAATGTATTCCTCTTCCCTTTGATTTTTTCCACTCTCTTGGCAAATGCCTGTGACCACAAAAATCAAGAATATACTATGGTTAAACTTAACATTGATCAGGATCAATTTAAAAGAAAAAATGACTATGACTTCGTAAACAGAGAGAGAAAACATCATTAATTACATTTCATTAAAAACTTGAATTGAAAGAAGTCTATTCAGAATGGGATAGGCAGAATGTAATCTTGTACATTGCTTTCTTCCATTCAAAGGTCTCTATTTGAGACTCCATTCTTGAAAGTGCATAAAACCAATGCACATCTCCCACGGGTGCAAGCTTAAAATATAAAAATCTGCTCTCATAGGACAGAAAAATAACTTGATAAAAAGGTGTGGAATCTTCACAAAATCAATTCAGAAGAGATTCAGGAAGTCTAAACCCTCATTCTGGGAATCCCCTGTTGGGAACTACTCTGGCTTTTTATTTTCCGATGGAGAAGTAATATGGCATAGTAAGGTTGAAAGGATTCCTGTAGAATTTTGATAGATAGTAGTGATGGACCAAATAGAGCTGCAAAATTGATACATACATCTGGACGATATTTATTGTAACTACGGATTCGTTTGTTGCTGCTGTTCATTGGAGCAAGCACAGACAATATTCTTGACAAAATTTCAAATCAAGTTCTTGCTCTTGCATGCAATCTAAAATTATTATCACGTTTCATAGCTTAAAAGATATGAATGCACATGTTTGCAAGGAAATGATATGCGTGTAAAATACAAAAATAAGCACTAGAATTTTTTTCCGAAATAACCCTATAATAATTAATACACAAAGGAATTATTGCTCAATTACAAGGTTCTTCTAAACATGTAGCTACCGAAAAAGTCGATGAAATAGCATCCACCATAACATTCTAATCATACATCTAGAGTACATACCATGGAGAGAAACTTTTGTTACAAGCACAAATGAGGCATTCAAGAGCTTATTTGTATTAAATTAGATGGGAGAAATTATTTTAGTATTGACTAAAGCTGGAAGAACTGGTTTGTCTGTCATTTGGCGAACATCAACTTTCGTACAGCACAACAAAAACCGCTCATACTCTTCTTTAAATTCTTAAATGGTTTCACCATAACCATTTGTCGCCTCCTCCGATTTTTACAATGTTCTCTAACACATCAATCGGCACCTCTTCCATTTTTCTAACATTTACATAATCGAAATTGTACAACATTCTCAACAATAAATGATTAACGTACATTTTTTCATAAATCAGAGACCTAATCCTTTAAGATTCAATATCAAATAGTGATGATCATATGACCCCAAGAATCAACTTTTACCAATTATGCTGCTGACTTATAGAGCTTTAAAATAGACAAAAACAATTAATAAACTAACATAAATAAGTGAAAACCCCAAAAATAAGGTCCCACAATGGATGAACTATAATAAAAAATGAATTAATTAAGGTATTGTTGTCATTATCATAGATTATACCAACCTGCCTTAAAACAATGCCCCCATGATCAGATGGTTCTTCAATTTCAACAATGCGAGTTGTGGGCCCCGCAGATCTTGTCTTCCCTTTCGCTTTCTCATCTTTCTTCTTCTTCTCCGATCCGCTAATGTCACCTGCATTGGACACTTTAATCGTGTATATCCGATCAATTGGGGAATCCCGGCCCTTCCCCTTAATCTCCGCCTTCCATTTGTAACCCTTCTCCAAACCTTTCTTCTGACCCTTGGAATCGTTGATCTCCGCCGTCCATTTATACTTCCTATCGACCCCTTCTTTCTCTGGACTCTTAATCTCCGCGGTCCATGTGTACTTCATCTCCCCGATCTTCTTCTTCTTCTCCTCCGCCTTCACCAGCCGATCAAACCCCAGCTCCAAAGCTGAAACCCGATCACAGAGAGATTGCAAGTACAAATCCGAGGCAAGCCCAGTTCTGCGCTTGACTTGGCGAGTTGAGGTGTAGAACGGGGCTTTATCCATCTGGATCAGATTGGTAATGCTCTCAAAGTCACTGAATGGTGAAGGGAGATCAAAAGGTGGGGATGCGGTAGGGTTCAAAAGGTCGAGAGTGAAGTCAAGCTCGTCCTGTTCAAAGACAGGAAATGGGGGAAAACATGGGCTCGGCATAAGAGTTTGTGGGCATAAGAAAATGGAGGTTTCTTTGAGAAAGTAGGATGGTGAACGTTCAACAAGCTCGAATCTTCTGAATCTGCTCATTTTAGCTTCAGCCAAGAAAATTAGTGAGAAATAGGTGATGCTGTGTAATTATGAAGAGAGACGGCGATGAATGTAGAGAAGCTTTTATTGGTGGGAGTCAAAAGGAAGAGGAATGAGGGGGTGATTGTGACGTGGATTTGGTTTAACACTAGACTATCAATAATCATTCATGATTGGATTCTTTGGCATAAGATGATTTTCGTTATTGTAATGGTGGCAATTGAATTGGTTTGTGTCGGATCGACTTGCATTTGACACGAGTTGTGGGAGCAAGTGGAATAGCGAATCACTCATGCGAATTGACAAGCAACTTATAGGAGTTGACTCGTCAGCTAAATGAACTAGCTCACCTATGTTCAAGAATCGATTGTCGTATTGAAAAAAATGCAAATTTTCAATCAAGAATATAATAATTATTATTATTGACGGATGTGAACCAGACTCTGATTGACCAACCACCCACATTTGTTGGGGACATGCATACAGCTCTAATAAATATTAGGGAAAATTGCAGTCGAGATATCAAATCTTTCGTTTATTAACAGACTTTGTTCAAACCTTTAGTTTGTGTCCACCACAGTCCCAAATCTTTCAAAAATATGCACCGGAGGTTCAAATGGATGGAAACCGTCCGCTTGACCGTTAGTGGCGTTAATTGACTAGAAAAGTCAAAATTTGACCAATTTGGACCAAATTAAAAAGGGCAAAGTGGTACTTTGCATTTTTTCTTAATATTAATAATTAAAATAATTAATAATAACAATAGAAAAGTAAAAACAAAATAAATAAAAATCAAAAAAAGAAAGGGAATACTGTTCATCTTCATCTTCACCCCACCCCGCCCTGCCCCATCCCACCCCACCCTTTTACTCAAAACCCAAAACCAGAATACCCCATGGCCACCATCACCGATTCACCTAGCCCATTCACACTGTCGTCGAAAAAACTAGCTATCAAGTCTGGACACTGCAAATCTGGAGACACCCAACCCCAGTTGAAAAGTAAATTTTGAAATAGCTATCAAAACTTCATCCAATCCCAAACTTAAAATCTCAAATCGTCAAACACGGAAGTCAAGCTTTTTATGCAATAGAAGTCAAGCTTCTGTGAACTGAGTTCGAACTCAGTTACCTTATCCAAAAAAAGAGTTCGAATTCGGTTCTTGACCGATAATGGAGACAGTGTTTAGGGAAGAAATGTTGGTATAGGTGGTCATTTCTGGATTTGGGCTTATGTTATTTGGAGTAGATGTTATGGCAACAATGATGGTGGGTGATTTGCAGGTGCGACGGCGTGTTGGTGACTGGGCGATTCGATTTCTGGTTTTCATTTGGGTTCGGTGGGATTTGATTTTCCAATGTGCCGTAGGGATGAGTTTTGTTGGTTTGATTTTCGCTGCTGCGAATGGAAGGTGATAGTGGTGAGCGGGAGTGCTGTGGCGACAGTTGTGGCAATTTCCGATGGATGTAATGCCGGAGAAGACGAGCTGCTTTGGTGTGAGGATGGTGTGCCGGTGGCAGACTCGTTTCTGCTGCCTGTTGGTTTGATTTCGGGGTGGGGTGGATGACCGGTTTTCATTTGTTTTTTAATTTTTTTTTCAATCTTCTCTTTTTTTCCTTAAATTTTTTATTTTTTGATTTTTTCTTTATTTTTTTATTCTTTTTTCAATTTATTTAATATGATAATTATCAAGTTACCATTTTATCCTTTCCAATTTAGTCCAAATTGGTCAAATTTTGACTTTTCTAGTCAACTAACGATCAAACGGACGGTTTCCATCCATTTGAACCTCCGGTGCATATTTTTGAAAGGTTTAGAACTGTGGGTGGTACAAACTAAAGGTTTGGACAAAGTTTGTTAATAAATGAAAGGTTTGGTACCTCGGCTACAATTTTTCCTAAATATTAAGCCCCTATTTGGTGGGATTATAATTTATTTTTAGTAAATTTTGATAAAAGTTGATATAAAATGTGGTTGAAGAGTTGTAGATTTCATGTATGGTTAAAATTAATTATAAATTTTGATTTAAATTAAAATTCCAATTTTAATCAATATTTCTGATTTTTCAATTTTAGAGGGTGTTTGGGAGCCATTTTTATATAAAAATGCATTTTGGAATTGTATATTGATGGGAAATGTGTGGTTGAAAAATAAGGAAAAGTTTTTTTTATTTATGTGTAATATTATTTTAATGAAAAATGTGTGGTTGAAAAGAAAATAGAAAAAAATGCATTTTAAGAAAAATAGGTATCAAACGGAGCCTTAGTATACAAATATCAATGTTATCTTTCACTTATTCAGATAATTCACAAGCTTGAAAACTCATATCATGTTTGGATTGACTTAATTTATAAATTGATAAAAATAAATTATGAAAATTTCATGAATCCTATTAAACGTGTGTTTAATAAGTGAACAATAGTTTAAAGTAATTATAAATCTTACAAAATGGGTATTATAACTCGGGTTTATGCTATGGGGACATGGCCATAGAGGGCTGCCACACAGACCCCTGTTTGGCAAGCAGCTTAACCCCTATTACTCAGCTAGAGTCTGTCCTGGGTTGGGGAGCATAAGATAAGGGTAAATTAACGAGAAGACTACAGTAGATTTATGGGCATGTGGGTGCATCAGTTCTCACAGGTATAAATAGGTTTCTATGGACAGGATGGTGTTAAAATTCAGTCCTCTAAGGCATAATGTATGAAGGTCAAGTTATGGACTATACAAGTTTAGACGAGACATAAGCATAAAAATGCTTTTTTATTTTAATTTTTAATTAATCTAAAAATCATTTAATAATTAAAAATAATATCTACCAAACATCTAAAACAAATTTATAGAAACTTTATACATTTTTCCAAAATTTCCAATAAAAAAAATAAGTTTCAAATGTAAATACTAAATAGTAAATAAATAGAAAAGTTTGGGAATTTTCCTTTGTTTAATACTTCAAGCGACCGTTTTGAATCTAGAGTAGACGAAGTGAATAAATTAGCCTTTAAATTTTAACTTAAAAGAATTGCAGAAAAAATTAAAAAGAAAAAAGAAGAAGAAGATAGTAATGGGCTCCTAGGCTCAAATAAGGAGCACATTAAAATTGTTGACTGCTATATAAGGTGCCATGCCAAGTGGGTTGGTGTTTTCATCGAACATAATTTAGGCTCGTCTAGATGCACCCTTTAGAACATTAGTTAAAATGAGTCAAGTCATCTAATAATTTTTTTGAAAAAAGGTCTAAGCTATCAAGATGTTTGATCGTGCTCGCTCTTGAGCTCAGATCCTGTCGGCCAGACCATTTTATCAAGAAATGAAACAATGACAAGCAGGGAAAGGGGCATGCTTGGGCTTTAGTCCAAGCCTGTCTCGAGCCTATTAGATTTTTTTAGGTTAAAGGTAAAAGGGAAACTTACAAAAATGCCCTTAAAATTAGATGTATTTTGAAAAATCATATGAAAAGTTTTTAGAAAGTAAAAAATACTGTGTAAAATGAAGAAAGTGACACAATGTCACTTTTTATAAAAATGGTTACTTTTGTTTTTGTTTTTTTAAACTAAAAAAAAGTGACACGAACACTAAAAAAGTGAGAAACACCAAAATAGCGCCATCCATATAGGCAGCACCCCTAATCACATTCTTAACATAATCAGCATATCTATGACAATTCACGCGAGCGTAGTAGCAGTTCTTAACATAATCAACATGTGGATTGTTAATGTCCTAATTATGTTAGGAAAATATAACATATTATGCCACTTTTTTATCTTCTTCAAAAAGTGACAAATATTTAAAATAGTGACAAAAACTTAAAATGTGACAAAAAACTCAAAAAAGTGACACAATGTCACTTTTAAAAGTTTGGTGCCACCTTTTTATTAAAAAATGACATACAATCTCCCTTTTATTTAAAAAAAATGATGTTTGTTATTGAAAAGGTGATAAAAATCTCAAGAAATTGACTTTAAAGAAAGTAACGAACAATAAAAAAAAAAAGTGACAAAATTTCAAAAAAGTGACGAACACTAAAAAGTGGTGAATTTAAAAAAGAGATAGAAATCAAGAAGGTGACAAACATTAAAAAGGTGACGAAAATTCAAAAAAGTGACGAAAATTTTAAAAAAAAAGTGACGAATTCAAAAAAGTGACACAATTTTTTAAAAAGTTACACGGATTAAAAAATAACAAACACTCAAAAAGTAAAAAAAAAATTCAAAAAAAGTGTCAAATATTTAAAAAAAAAGTGACACAAATTCAAAAAAATGACAAATCGTAACCACAATTTTCAATATAGACAAATTATCTAATAAGTTCACAGCTAATGAACAAATTAAAAATTTTTGAACTAACAACTTGGACAATATGATCATAATCCAAAATTTAACTGCAACCAAGTTTACAGTAAGCTCACAAGTCACAACTAATGAAAATTGATGACTAAACTAAGATGTAAATGTCAAAAAATCATATAAACGCTCATCACTGTTAATCGAATAATATTTTTTGTGGTCTTCAAATCATAACATATCCTACAGTTTGAATACTGACCGAACGGTTTACCAAACTCGGACAACATTTTGAGTACCCAGAAATCACTGTGATATGAGAAACGTTGTTCTTCTGGGGCGCCGCATCAAAAAAGTTGCATGCTAATTCTATCTTCCTACAATCTAGATACCCACAGATCATAGCATTCCAGGAAGCAAAACTACTCCCTAGCATCTATCGAAACAATGCATATCCTTGCTCCATAATCCTGCCCATTGCATAACTAGAAACCATTGTATTCGAAGATATCACATCCTTATTTGGCATTTCATCAAACACACTTTGAGCCATTGCTAAAGTTATTATCTGAACAGAAATTTAGCTTTTACCTTTTAGCAAACTGATAAAAAGAATATATATATTGCTAAACAAGTTGAATAGATGAGAATTTAGAATGTATTTCTGGACAGAGAAAGGCAGAGATGTTGAGAGAGATGAGGTGCTCCAAAGGGGATGGTGTATTGATGAAACCATTGCATTCCAAGATATCACATCCTTCTCTAGCATTTCATCAAACACACTCTGAGCCATTGCTAAAATCTTATAGATTTAATTCCAAGAAACA